GCACAATCTAAAAAGACAGTAGATCCCAAAATTAGTAATCCGATCCATCTTTTTTTCTGCACTTTTTTTACACAAATGAGTAATATTGAAAAAGAAGTAACAAAGTATATGATTACAACAGATCCTGCGTCTGCAGAAGCTCTGGAGGCAACTAGAAATCTTGTAAAAAGTAAAATCCACGACACCTTTTTGTTAAGAAAAAAAGTTATTAACGCTATACGTACAGCTGTCAACGAAGGTTCAGTTCAAAATAACCTGTTGAGCTTAATTCAGGAATTAGGTGAATATTTGATAAACGACGATGAATTTATTCGCGCCAAAGGTAAATTTGAAAAGCCAACACTCTTAAAAACACGTATTAATGACGGAGACAGCAACTGGACTATTGTCAAACACTTTAAACGATTGTGAGCAAGAACTTATTAACGACTCAGCCGGTAATAATAAAGAAACACGAAATAGCACAGAAAAAAAAATGCGGCTAACACCTCGCAGTGTCTGTACTGGTTAGCTTCTATTGCGATAGATTAACCGACAAAACCTGTGTTCAAAATCTGTTTGATGGTTTAGTGGCATTAACAACATTTAAAAACTTTACTGGCAAAAATGCACTTTTGGTTTCTAAGAGGTATGTGTTAATAATACAATTAGAATGACAAACAAACAAAAAAAGTTGAAAACAGAAGCATATGTTTCGATTTAGGATTTTTGAAAACGTCCAAGTACAGCAATTTCCTCAAGGCGCCAGAAATTCTGCATATAAAGTATTTGCCAACTTAATCAACAGACACGCTAAATCATTAAGATCTATCAATAACGAATTTGTCTATGGATTTACGCAAGTTTTGGACGGTGAAAAGGATCCACGAAATTTGATGAGTGCCTTCCAAATTATGAAGAGTGTGGTAGAGAATTTTGATATATCGGCTCATGTAGAAGACATATTTGAAGTCACATTCTGTTACTTTCCTGTTACGTTCAAGCCTCCTCCAGATGACCCTTATGGAATCACAGCAGAGGATCTTAAAATCAGCCTCAGGTAAAGGTTTTTTTTTTATTATTGATATAGAACCATGGGAGACTCATGCATGTGATTTAGAGAATGTTTGGCTTCTACACCACTTTTTGCCAAATTTGCTTTACCTTTGATATTGGAAAAGTTATCATCTACTTCGGGTAGTGCAAAGGTAAAAGAAGAAAGAAAAAATGCAAAAATGAATGAAAATGGAAAATCAAGTATTAATATATAAATGGGGGATTAGAGAGATTCGATGGAGACTTTAGCTGCATGTGCGCCAGTGTATGGGTCTGCTGCTTTATTGCCCAGCGTTAATGAAATCTTCAACAGTCTTAAGTTAGAAGTATTTCATGCTATCGATGCACCTTTAGAGGATGCGGCTGTGGATTGTATCCGTGCTGTTGTTGCTTCGTTACATGAAGTAGGTCTCAGCACATCTGAAGGAGACCCCACCGAAAAGGCATTGAGACCATTAGTCGAAGAATGTGCAACGAACCTTAAAGATCCCGACATGAAAGATTCCAAGCAGTCAGGTCGTATCTTGAGAGCTGTTGCATCCGCTTCTGATCCTGCTTGTCAATACGTTATTGATACAATTATCCCTTTGGTGCTAAAACAATATCGCGAAACCGCCGTAGCTACCCTTCGAAAGTCTAATGTCGACATCATGATTGATCTTTTGGAAGCTTGTAAGACACTTTATGGATCGGCCGCTGAAAACGAGACTGCAGACGCTGATTTTGTGTCACCATTGATTCAACATAAAGATCGTCTTTTTGGGATTTTTGAAACATCTTTAATGGCTTCGAACGAATACAACCTTTTAAGATTGTCTGGATTAAATGGGTTGAAATTGATGATTTTATCAAAGGGGTTTTTAGAAGACAACGAAGTTGGTCTTGCCATTCAATCAATCAACAAAATTCTTTTGGATGAAACAGATGAAGAACTCCGGTAAATAAGATTGAACGAATATGTAGGGTGCCATGTCATGGTTTAACTTACTTTTTTTAAAAAAAAATAGTGCTGCTGCTCTTGATGCTCTTAGTGTGGCATCTCATATCAACAGTAACTATATCATTGAGATTACTTTACCTTCTCTCATCAATAGACTTCCCGACGTATCGAACAATTGTGACCCTATGTCGTATTTGCATGTGCTTTATGCATTAAGAACTCTGTGCCCTGTCCCCACTATCTACAAGCATGCTATACCTTCCTTAATCCAAAAGTTTGATACTGTTTGTGAACAAGGTAAACAATGATTATTTATGTAGACATGTTAGATACTAATTCATTGCTATTTTAGACGACCAGCCTTCATATGTGCATGCCATCATTGAAACTGTGCTAGAAATTTTAAAGGTCAAATCCGCTGAAAAACATAAAGATGTTGCGGATGGAATTGTCACTATTATTCCTCACATCTTCACCAAGGCTATTCATGCTTCTCTGGAGAAGAGCCACAGCCTCATCTTAAACCGCTATATTTTACAGACACTGTCTTTGATCACCATGACCATCTTTTCCAAGGCAGATAGTGCGACTCAAAAGACATTTGTGGACAAGACATTCAAATTGTTCGTTGATGGAGATTTATCGCAATTCAATATCGAAGCTACAGCAGAATATAGACCTCTCCAAACCACTAGTTCTGATGCTCAAAAGGAAACATGCCAATTGTTCGCCGCTATTGTGTGTGCATTAAGAAAGGACGTCTCGTTACCCGTTTCAAATCTTGAAGATTACTTAAACGATTTAGTCACCTTGGCATTAAGTTCAGACAACAAGGCACAGATCACTTGTGCTTCAAGAATTGTTGGGTCGATCATCAATAAATGGAAAGACAGTAGGTTATTGTATAAGTTTACTGATCGGCAAGTTTTATTAAATGTGGTCCCCCTCCCCCCTTTTTTTAGACACTGCTTTGACCGAATATGTGAGATCGACAGCTATCGTCTTGCAAGATACAATTACGCAACAAGCTAGCAATAGTAAAAACGCATTAGAAGTTTATTTGTGGATCACCAAATCTCTTGTTTTGCGCACGCACGCATTAGGTTATGAGTTGACTGATAAGATCATTGAATGGTGTGGTAGTAACGTTGCTGGATCCCAAGCACCTGAAGGCTTTGATATATTGATTGGCGATGATAAACATGCATTAAACAAGGATACGTTTGCGACAACTACAATTTTATACAAACAACGTTTCTTCAGCTATTGTTTGCCTAAATTGGTTGATGGTTTCCGTTCATCGGAAGAGGGTAAATTGTAAAACTTATTCTAATACGAAGGGTAGACTTAACTTACACATATTTTATTGCAGGCATCAAACCCAACTACTTGATCGCATTGTCATACGTCTTGAAAAATGTCCCTAAACAAATCCTTTTAACGGAATTGCCACCTCTTGTCCCTCTTTTGATCGAATCACTTAGTTTGTCTGATGATTCATTAAAGGTGTCTACCTTGGAAACCTTTAAATTGGCAGTATCCGAAGCCGCAGATGTAGTTGCACCTCAAGTGCGTACAATTCTTCCGTCGCTTTTGGCCCTGTTGGACGATACAACTCATAATCCTATGCGTGTACGTGTTGCAGCACTGACTTGTTTGGGCCAGTTCCCTGCATTTATTGCCAAGGATGCACTTTTACCTCACGTCAGCTATGTTGTAAAGCAGTTGAAGAAACCTTTGGATGATAAGAAGAGAATTGTTAGAAAAGAGGCTGTTGATTGTAGATCCAAGTGGTTTACGATTTCTAATTAGATTGTACATTTTTTTTTGAAAAAAGAATAAATATGAAGTATGGGTTGCTTGTTTGCCCCCTTCCATGTTAATTATGTACATAAACTAAAATACGTATCATCATGACAGACGTGTAGGCGGTTCTTACTGCAAGTGTTAGACGGAATTGTATATCTTATAAAAGACTTGGGTGTTACGTATCACACAACTACTCTTCCTCAGACATCATTTTGACGAAATACCTTTGTTAAGGCCATGCAATTATTAAGAATCGGAGGTTTTCCGATTAAATTCAACTTGCAAGCACAAAAAAAAATTACGGATGACTTTTTTTTACTATCCACTTTTCGTTTGGAATGGGGTTACACTACAACCTAGTGTGATACAAAAAAAGGCATAATTGCAACCAGCCCCAAACAAAATGCTGGATGTGAAAAAGGAGGTGACATTATTTTGGTCAATGTATACCTACCAACATTTGAAAGCTATGGATATTACAAGAGAGATATATAGAGGGAGACGAACAAGCTTGATCATGTGCTGATAGAAAAGTGTGTGAAGATGTCTGTGATAAAGATAGTTCAGATACAACAAAGACGTAAAAAGCCGAATGAAGAAGGAGTTTAATTGACGCCTGTGCGAATAACCACACATCAACAAACATTGAAATATGTTTGTGTCCCGATATGTGGATGTGGATGCAGTAATGAAAATGCTATTATAACAATTACGGGCTTAGCTTAAACATTAAATGAGTTGATAAAATAAGAACGGTAAACATTGTCACTTCGCGACAATTAAATGGCACGAAGCGGAAACTGACGGCTATCTTTTTTTTTTGAGACTACAATTTCAAATGTGTATTTCGTTTAAATGAAGGTCCTATGTTAAGGCCTTTGACTGATGTATGGATATTTTTTTCCGGCTGTTAGGAACCTTAAGTGACACACTTTACACTGGAAGCCACACTTTGAGTCCTGTTACACACTTAGTACATTCCGGTGCATGTACTGTCATTTCATTTAACAGTGTAATGTTTACGATACTTTATTTTTAATCTCTTCCGTGTGGTATACGATTGTTTCCATTATCCAGAATTATGTTCTGACTACTACCGGATCCTTCGCTATAATGGTCCTCGGATGTATAATGGTGCTTGGGATGTCCTTCTGCACCCAATAATGCAATATTTGAAGTGTTGGTAAGTCCATCACCATTTTCAACATCAAAGCCTTTACGACAATAAGCGAGTCGAGCCAAAAATGGGTCTCTGCAAGACTCTTGTGATAATTCAGGGTAATATTGTCTGTAGGCAAAATAGGCGCAGGCAGTACCCAATAAGGCACCAATTGTCACATCGTGCCAATGGTGACGGTAATCTTCTGTACGTGAGATGGCCACCAGTAGAGCGCCAATCATTGGAAAAGCGAACAAAAATCCTTTGTATGTATGCTAACATGACATGTGAGTATGAATAATATTTTTAATTTAGAATGTATTTTTACTTACGCCTTTTTGATCAAACATTTTCATTTTACCAGCAATATAAAATGCTAAATACATTAATCCGGAAAATGAGACTAAATAAAATAGAGTTAGTGGTGACCCCGTTTCATTTTTGTTTGTGTCAAGTTTATCACTTTACAAGATGAGTGTCCACTAGGGAAACTTTTGAAACCATCAATCATTTCGTGTGAATTAATGTCTGTTGTGCAAATATCTACAGTGGATAGGCCAAACACTGGATCAACTGTATCCAAAGGTGGCTGACAACGTGATAACATATCTGGTCTTGGTCTACCTGCTGTAACCTAATTTATGTAATTCAGCCTTCTTTTTTTTTTTTATTTTTTTTTTTTTATTTTTTTTTTTTTTTTGCTTCGAATATTTACTTTAATAACGTCTGTCAGCATGATTGTCATAGCCAATCCAAGACAAAGGCCTATATTTCAAGGGGAAAAAATCAAATTAAAAGGAGTTATAAAAAAGGGGAGGGGGGAGTTTGGAAATTACCGAGTACACCACTATGGAAATCATGAATGCTTCTCTTGTATCCAAATCCACTCATCGATATAAATCCAATAATTAAAATAGGCACCAAGAGACAAATAACCTGTCAAAAAAATGTGTTTATAATCGAGCCAATAAAAAAAAATTGTAAGAATTTTACCATTAATAACCAAACAGGAATGGTTTCGTGTTCAGTGTATGGAAACATAATGGTTTTGTCTTCTACTGAAAATCGACGATGGAATGGAGGTATTTGATCAATGGCAAAGAAGGCTGCAGTCATAATAACGACAAGGAGCCAATCGTATAAGTACGATAATGCTAAACGCCTCTTGAAGGGATCTAACTTTATAGACATCATTATGAAGGAAAAGAAATAAAGGAAAAGCAAATTAAAAAAAAAACAGAACAGTTTTAAGCGGGAGCGCAAATATCATCAGCCTCACCCAAATAGAGTATTTATATTTAGAATGGGAACTATTTTTATTATTTGTAACGCCAAGATTATTCTGTAATTCTTCGGTTCGAATTAACCAAAGTGGGACCTTGTTGTTGAAGATTCTCCTCCGTATCCTCCGTTGGTAAGGACGATGCAACCAACATACATGGGAAACAGCAGCCCGTGCAACATAACAACACACTCTATTATAATTCCATATTAGTCACTTCCGTTCCATAATCATATACATGTATCTCTTTTACCAGTATGATAAAGACAGGAATAAGGATCACACTTAATTTAACATGAGACGAACCATCCAATCGTCTTGCAATCAGGGCCAGTACAGTGTAAAATAATGCAGAGAGAATAGCATAAATCACGGATGCAATGGTGATAAGCATTTGTCCTTGTTGAGCTTCCTGTCGTGTTGGGTAGTTGGCGAATTTCTTGTATTGTCTATATAGTTTCACGGTGAAGAATACTCCCAGACAATAGATTGGTATAAACACAATAAACCATGTATATTCTTTTTTGATATACAACAGCTGCAACAGTATGAAGGTCATTTGTATAACAAGCACACTTCTCGTTAACCATCCATTTCTTCCATTTTTGATCGTATTGATGACTTCATAAGCATAAAATGGTAAAAATACGTATACTACAGAATATGGGAAATGGTGATCCAGACGTAACACAATTAACACCTGGAATATCAGAACGAAGCAGCATTGAATAAATGGTATAAATTGATTGTAAATATGCTGCTTCTTTGATGTGGTTTGTTGTTGTCCACCTAATAATCCGTCCTGTTCATTTCCTTCATCCTCTTCCTCCTCCGCTTGCTCATGTTGTTGTCTATGATTTAATTCATCATTTTTGACTGGGTCGTAGTTTTTAATGCGATAGATTGTGGCCCATAATATCAACCCATCCACAATCCATAATGGTATAAATACAACAGACCATGGCCAACTGATACTAGCATCCACTCTCAAACAAATCAAAATTAACCAAACCAAGATGGACACAAGCATGATGGATATTAAGCAAAAGAAGGCTAATACCATGGCTTCCACCTCCGGGTCTAAAAACATGGCTCCTCCCATTGTATCAGCCATATTCAGCCCAACCGAACCATAACGATCATAAATACGTCTCTTTTGCGGATCGGAAAGAATCTGTTCTATAAAGCATTAGCAGCTTTTTCCCGTCTTTCGTATAATGTGACATTCTACCTCATACGCATGATTCACGGTTCGAAACTAGAAAAAAGCAAGGGATGGCTTTAGTAGACTTAGAAAAAAGACATTGCATAAGTGTACAAATACCTGATCTTCACAGTTTGGATTCTTATCGGGATGATATCGTAAAGCTAATTTCCTGTAAGCCTAGATAAACCAGTTGCAATCAATAACTCTTATTCAACGAAGAATACGAATGAAAAAGAGAGAGATCACAAACCTTTTTAATCTCTTCTGGGGTTGCAGCTTTGGTTAGATTCAGAGTAATGTATAGGTTGGTTGTATCATTCTGTTCGTCATTGCTCGGATCCATGTTTACTTTTTATGATAGTTTTAGGAAAAAGAGGAAGTCGTAAAAAATTATCAGAAGACAATTATTTATTTATAAATATAACTTTTTTATTTTATTTTTACAAAAGAAAAAAGGAGTAAACTATGGACTATAAGTCTGTTTTTATTGCTTGTATCTATCTTCTTCACTTTATTGTATCTTTCTACAAAGAATGGCAAAGACTATATATACACAGACAATTAAAAAAGGACCATATGTTTATCTTTTTTTTTTTTGTTTGAATATGATTATCGCCCCAACATTCAGTGATACAAACAAACGTCTACTCAGATTTCGTTGAGCGAATCCACCATATGATTCAGTTTTTTTTATAGAGTAAGGATCCTAACCCCAGACTATGATTTGATCGTTAATCAAGTCGGTGGCTTTTTTTAAAAGGAAATGAATATATATCAATGGCGCACTTGGTCTACATTTCTATATAACTATCATCATGACGCATCTCAATATTTAACCGCAAATGTGATTTTAGACTAAAGCAAGATAGGGATCAGTTAACAACACATTGTAAGAGAATCTTACATGCGGTTCAGGCTAATTTTATCGATCGTTGGCTTTACCTTTCTTGTAAACATGCTTTTTCAGAAGCGAAAGTCGTAGGCGTACAACTATATCTGCAAGCCCATCCAAGCAGCCGTTGCTGCCAATCATCACTGATATATTAAAATTAGAACTGTAATTATTTGTCGGTCATACTTTCAAACTAGCCATTCTCTTTATAATGCTTTTCAGAAAACCAATGTGCATGAATGAGCTCAACTTTTCAAGTAAGAAATTTAATTAATCACGTTATTTGCGCCTATTATTATTAAAAAACAGAACAACTGCGCATAGGATTAACATGCAATGCTTTTAATATATATATATGGAAATTATGCGCATATCAATAACACTGCTCTTATCAGTAATTCATTTGAATAAATCCAGCATCATATGGCTTAAAGCCCTCAAACGGGTGTAGACGTTTGGCTTGTTTTTAGTGTCTGTACTGCTTCGTACAGTATCATTTAATTGAATTGTTTAGAGCTAAGTATCAACATGTTAGGGTATGTAATACCTATTATCAGATTAGTGGTGATACCTTTCTCTCTTTCTCTTATATTTTATCTGCATAGCTTCATACATTGCAGAATATGTCACACTGCAGGCAACAAAGTCAAGACGACTGGATTTGAGTACAATTAAATGATGAAACAGATTTTTATATCTAATGCTTCCAAGCCTTATTAAGCCCTGTGAAAAATCTTTGTACATCTGGCATCGGTTTTACAAGTTTATTAGAAGTTATTTACGAGGGGGCAGGATATATTTATTCATCTCAACTATTTCTGAACTTCTTAATTCGCTGGTAAACAATATGATTGCAATAAAAAAATCCTATATGGTCAGATAAGACGCTTCATATAATTTGAATCTTTTAACCTAAGTTATTAATTGATTTAATGTAAAGATCACAGTTATTCTTTCTAGCAATGTCCAAACTTATCAATTATATGGTATCATGAAGTATCCACAAATAATCCTCTCTTCTTCTCCAGCACTGCCGATAACAAGCATTTCTAACAATGAACCGAACAGCTACCATTGGTCTCAATTAAAAAGGTTTCCCACCTTTATCAGCGAGTCATATACAGAAAATTAGTGCTTGTTCAACATACAAATATTCCTTTTACAATCTTTTATAAAGCCAACAAAATTTTCATCTTGAGCATATTCTTTTAATTGATATATTAAGTTGAATACTTTACTACTTATTGACATAAAAAGTAACAATCTAACATCTGAAGTTGTTAGAAGCAAACTGGTATAAATGTAAAGGTGTGAGGTTATTTTTTTATTCGAACCATGATGAACCTGTTTGCATGATCTTTCCGTTTAAGGATAAACAAATTTACCGGCGTTTTTCGACGTCATTTCCGGGTTGCGTTTCTGGCAAAAAAATATTATTTTTTCTCAGTTTGGTTTTGATAATTGTTCATCAAGATGCCTGTTGATTCACAAAAAATACCACCCCAACCTCGAGATGCAAGGATAGTATCTCTCATTCTCCAATCATTAGGCGTTGAAGATTACGATCCTAAAGTTGTTCACCAATTACTTGAATTTGCACACCGTAATTATCCTCTCCATGTACATGTATAAATAGGGTTTATTGATGGTGGTCTCTTTTATAGGATATACGACCGATGTATTCCAAGATTCGTTGATTTACGCAGAACATGCCAACAAGAACGATCTAGACTTGGATGATATTCAGTTAGCCATTCAAGGACGCGTCAATCATTCCTTCACCACACCACCACCCAAAGAGGTATGTGTTAAATTTTGAAAAAGAAGTTGTATAATGAACATGTTTTTTTTCATTGACGCAAATCTTCCACAGTTTTTGTTGGAGCTCGCTCAAGAAAAGAACAAGATTCCTTTGCCACTTATTCCCGAAAAATATGGTATTCGATTACCTTCAGATAAACATTGCTTGACCGGTATCAACTTCTCGATCGTACCTGATGTATGGCCCCCTTTTTTTTTATGTTTGATTGTGTGTCTATAAAAACTGACTCGCATTATAGGCACCACCTCCACCAAGACCAGTAGATAAGGTTTCTTCTGGCTTGATGGATACACAAGAAACGCTCGTAGAGCCAGAAACTGAGGCTGCTCCGGTAAATGCACCTGTTGAGGTGGTGAAGCGTGGCAGAGATGCTATGGAAGATGATGATTATGATTTCTAAAATCCAACAAAGAGAAGAAAAATACGTGTACATAATGGATAAAAATAATAAAGGATCAACTTTTTTTTCGGCAAAGTAAATGTGAAGCTCTGGAGTGTGTGATCATGGATGATCAAAGAGAAAATGTCTATATTTGTAAGGCCTAGATAATGGTGTGCGCGAGGTTTATGGGAAGTACTTAGTTAAAGAGACTGGTGGTATATTGTTAATGTCAAGAGAGATCCACAATTATTGAGATCAGCATCTTATAGTAACTACCAGAGTTTGTAAAGGACTTAAGCCAGCTTGATTTCGCGCTAAAGTATCCATAAAGAATGGAACTCTATCAAAATCAAGTAGTTTTGTAATGACATGTTTGGCAACTAAGTGCTAGTCTTAGTAAAGAAATCATGCTATGGCAACGATAAACTCTACATGCAAACGCTGTGATGCTCACTCAACTCAATTTAAATTTGAACAACCTCAGATATACACGGTCAATTTGTTTTTCTACGTGCTAAATAATTGTCTAACATTAGCAAAAAAGATTCTCTAGAGTCTCATTGGGATTATAACACACATGCTTGATTACTACATATCATTCTTTATGCATTAAAGAAAAAAGTATCTGCTGGTCAAGAATTAAAGTAAAGTTCGATGCTTTTTTCCTGTTCAGCACATGTAATTATAATTTGTATACAGCTTGATAAAATCCGACATATGAAATCAAGTGATGGGAATGAAACAGATTGATAACAAACAAAACAATTTGCATGTCTGATTGTGGGAAAGATTTTTTCCCCATCGATTTATTGAGTAAACTCTATGTTGCGGATAAACCCAAAGAGTATTTCCCCACCCTTGAAGCTTGTGAAATACATACAAAAAAAAAGCGGGGTAAATAAACGAGAGGGCATTGTGTGTAACAGAGGGAAAGGTATAATTTCTTATTGTTGTGGACAAGTTTTTTGTGTTCACTGCGAGATAGGAGCTTTTTTAAATTAGCTCTTGGTGTATAAGTGTAATGCACACAAAGCACCGTGCAAAAGAAATGTGTGATTCGCATGCGTTAACAAATGACGAAACTTTGTTTAAATATTCAAGATATTTATTATACACGTTTTTTATATATTGGTCATTTTATAATTCATGTACGCGTATGAATCATCTTTCTGAATAACCAAAGGTTTCCCGGATCACAAAGTAAGAAAAAAAGTGATTAGCGTGCGAGTTTTTATCTTTTTTTTTTAGCTTGAAGCACCTTAAAAAAAAAGGGTGCAAATATTAAGCTTTTTCATCATGTACATGACATATGCAAAAAAGCCAAAAATAGAATCTTGAGTGACAACTTTGACATGTGAAGAAAGAGGGGTTTTATGATCGATGTAACCGTAAAATCATTGTTATTATTATTATTTTAAAAAAATGGAATCTAGAATGAATTTTTCACAAAGACAAATTACGGGTTTTGGATGGTCCGATGCATCAGGGGTAAGGGTAGATTACCAACAATGTCACGGGGTGTGAAAAAGGTCCGTTTTTATGGCTTATCTTGGGCAAATGTACGCGTCTCAAAAGGTCATAAAAACTCATTAATGTTGTTTCGTAAGATTAAATGTTCCTGAAATGTTAGTTTATGGTTACACCGTTTAGTAAATGTTGCCTTTGAAGTTGTCTAATGCGCGGGAAAAAAATCAAGTATGGGTGCATCGATGGTTATTTTATTTTTTCGGCAATATTAATCTATCAATCAAATTACAACAAAGAAGTACAGAAAATATGGGCAGTTTAACTGTGTGAACATGTGTCTTTTATGATACATTTTATATATGATACATTAAAATTAAAAATAGCAAGAAAAAGGGAATAATTAGGAAGTGAAGTATATAATTTTTTTTTTTTTGTTTTTTTTTTTTTTGTAGAGAAATATAGGGTAAATTAGGAATCATTTTTTTTTTCTTTTACTGATAAGAGGAGTATCATCTCATGTCGTGGCTGGGGAGGAGATATGAAGGTTTCGAATAGGAGGTAGTAATACATTATAAAAATCATCATCGTCGTCTTCAACTGCCGTTGTTTGGCTGCTCGACATTGGGTTTATCATTCTTAATCGCTCTAACCAACTTTCTGCTCGTTGGATTGTATCGTCAAACACGTTATGAATTGAGCCCAACATTTCAGTGGACTCTTGGCCAAATGCCAGTAATCGCAATGCAACGTCTTCTTGACCCTTTGTTTGTTTTTGTGTCACATCGATGCTGGTCGATGATGTCTCATCCTCATACAACGAGGCCTAACAATATACATGTTAATATAACTATTAGGAACGACAAAGAAATTTTTGATTCAATTACCCATCGACTAGGTAAATTCAAAATGGTGCCTCGTACGGCTGCTTTGGCTTGGTAAGGCAGTGCTGTGCTTGCATAGCACGTAATAATGTCAATGACTTTACGTAATGTGGTAACCATGTCTCGTTTAATGGTGGCTAATATCACGGGCTGTTGCTGATTTTGTGATGGTGATGTTGCCATGGAAACGAGAAAGCTTCGAAGCAGGTTCATTTGTTGTCCCAAATTTCGTATGGCGTACTGTAACCAGCTCAAACAATATCGCAGACATTTCATTGAATCTTCACTAACGACAGCTGCAGTGGATCCAGCAGCTGAGCCAGCCCCCACCATAAATTGCTGCCATGTAGATCCATTATTAGTTGGCGCAGAAGTATAGGGTTGGCTTAATTTAATTCTAGACGTGGTAGTCGTAGTGTAATTCATTTAAATAAAATATGTATATAAAAAAATAAAAATAAAAATAAAAATAAAAATAAAAAAGAAGAAAAGAAAAATTAAAGAAAGTCGAAATCAAAAGCTTATATAAATTAAGCTTTTCACGTGCCAATATCCCTTTTCTAATCAGATTAGGCACATACAATGTTTTGCGCCTGAAAAAATAAAAAATTGGGGGTAAAATTTTTTTGTCGCGCAGTAAAGTCTCCTTTTGCCCAATAAAGCATTTCTTTATCTTTAACTGTAATGTCCCTACTGTCAATTAGTTTTGTCAATTCAACTTTTTTTTTTTTTTTTTTTTTTTTTTATTGATCAGTGTTTTTAAGCACTTTTCTTGGTTTGTATTTGTCACTATGTAAAAAATACAACGATGTCTATCACTGACTTACTTAAGTAAATGTCAAATTAATAAAGATAGTCCCAAATATACTCTTCATTATACTTTTCCTTATCTTTTGGATGACTTTGCCTGACTTTTTACTTTAGATTGGTTCATCAAAGTAACTATGACATGGAAAAATCTTAATATATAACTGCTCATGGACATGGAATTTATTTCGAATGTGAATAGAAACGCTGGATCGATCTTTCTAAAAAGTCAGTTCTGCCAATGCAAAAGGCTTGAGGTAAAATATTAAGGGAGAGTAACGCAGTCGCTGAAATGGAAAAAGTTGATAAAAAAGGAGTTCCATTGTCCTCAGTGGCCTAATTATCTTAGATTATCGTAAGTATTTAATAAAATACGCTTCCATGTATGGAGTGAATCTAAGGCTGGATTATTCACCAAGATTTTGTTGGTAAATACATACTACACATCACTTTTATTGTGAACTTATTTCATGTTCTAAGGGTTTGCATAAAAATGGTATCTTAAAGCTGTAAAATTACCTACTGTTCAACTTTTGTTTGAAATTATAGTTTTTTTGGGGATCTTTAAAAGGTAATATGGCAGATGATAATGCTTCTATGAAGTAAGTAATAACAAACTAACCACACGCAAAGTTGGCACAATCAGCTAAAGACAGGATGTATTGTTAAAAAAAGGATGGGATAGAAGAGCTGAACATGTCATTGGACAGCTTTGTAATTGAATCCACGTTATAAATTACTGTTGACCCGAGCGTTGGAAAAATGTGTCTATAAGAAAGATATTGTCAATAAAGGGAAATATAAGCGTGCCCTTACCGAGCAAATAAAAATAAAGCATCCCATCCCTTTTTACGATAACAAAAGGCAGTGAATAATTTGGGATTAGGTTATTTTGTCATAAATTGCTGCCACATGTCAGTCTGCACTTCTTCTCAAGTAACACGAGTATTGGTGCACCCACCCGAGGCGGAAACTGGATTCCACCAGTAGAAATTTTTGATTTGAAATAAAAATAAAAAAAAAGAGATGGGGTGTCATTCTATCACAAGGCATTATGTATTTGTGTGGTTGAAAATCATAGTTAGCTACTAGACGCGCATGAGTTTATTATCAGCGTGCATAAACGTTGCAACATCCCACATCATCATAAATAATATGGATCCTTATCGGTGTCCGGGTACTGGACTAGCATTGATGTTATCATCCTTTTTTTAGATAAACAGAAAAGAAGGGATGCAAAAACAGGATCAAAGAAATAAATTATGTAATATGCCCGTGATAGAATAGTGTTTGTATCACCGATGTATTAAAATTGCGCGTATTTATAAAAAGAGATTACTCGGTATCAGCTTTCCGATGATTAATTTTTTGAAGAATTGAACCCATAACTAATTCTTGTTAATAACTCCGTGCTTTCTGGATAAATGTTTGAAATTATTATAAAACAAATTGAGCGCTGCCATATTACAATGTTGAATTAATGATAACTTATCTCCCTTTAAGATAGGGGTTAGTGAGGTGACTTTATTGATAATTGCCAATGAGTTTAAATATACGCCAGTGTCAACGGGTCTTCCAGAATAAAGTGTTTTTTGTTAGAAGTGCTACTGTCGATTTTTCCAGCCATCCTTTTTGCTGACACTTTTAATGAGTAGTTGTAATTCACATATTCAAATTCTACAATGACTCGTGCAGATGAAGTTAAACCGCCACCGATGTAAATGCTGGATGATGCGCCCTGGGTGGCTTCTTCTAAGACGTTGAAACCATTAACACTCTCACCTGAATACTCGACTCGAATAATATCTGTAGATAAAATAGCAGTTACGACCAACGTGAATCTACATAGATAGCCTGTGATAATTACCTAAACTTAAATTCTCGCAGTTTGTTCCTGATAAAATAGTAATTTCGAGATTTAACTTCAATCCTGAAATTGGAATCTCTTGTCCCGTTTGGAGGACCACCAAATAGCTGCCATCATTAGCACCAATACCAGTAATATCGCCATAACAGTTTATACGTGAAAATGGCAAGTATCGGATGATATCTTCACGAAATCGAATACCATATGTGCTTCTTGATACCTTTTTTAAAGACCCGGCAATGAATCTGTCATAAATGTATGGTTTTATATTCGTAGTAGAATGTAATAACTCGCAAAGTGGCTCACGTATAACAAGTCCTTGTGTATATTTCTCTTTTAGGTCTATACTATTACTAACTGATTCTTGTAACATATTGCTGTAAACAATATAGGCCATCGAATTATGAGGAATATTAAATACATTTCCCAAAACAAACAAGAAATCCACTTCGTAGTTTCCAAACAATTCGGTGTTTGTTAATGAACCCGCCATTATAGTTGCAATATCTTGTATGACTGACTTCATACCAATATCAACAATATTTTGAGGATCAATAATGATACTACAATCACATTTTTCTTCATTGAAACATATATTATGTTCAAATTTTAAGTACATAGTCTTGTTAAAATGAACCTGCCAAAAATTGATAATAATAAGTTTATATTCTTTTTCTGATCAGTGTACTCACAAGCTCCGGCACGGCCAACTTAACTTCTTGACAATACCTGTCATAACTGAATAATGACTCGAGATTACGCAAGATATGCATACTATCCTCATGTGCAGTACAGTAGTCGATATAGCTAGTGGGATATATCTTAGAACCCCAGGTAGTTTTACAAAGGGTGTCATATACATCCTCTATCTGTATTATTTTATCTTCGACTATGATTGTAGTAGAACTTGTTTCATCTTCCGAAACAATGACAACTTGGTGGAGGGTTAGCTGGATATATGTTTGATGTAATTGAGAAACAACAAAATAAGACTTCATCTTAAAGTTGAAATCTGTTAGCTTCTGTTCAATAGCAGGCAAAATTTCTTCTCCCCGTGTAATAATCTGTGCCTTTCGTCGATGATTGTTTCTTTGCAGAATTCCACTCGCAAAGAGTAGTTCAGTCAAATCTTCTTTTGTGCCAAACATATTATCCAATAACCATTTATCTACTGATATCGCATATGCCAAATTTTTTTGTATCCATTTACCTTTGGCAGACATGTCTAGCCTTTTTTTTATCAGCGTGTTGAGATAAAATAGATATGATACCACAAGAAACAGCTTATATATGTCTCGGCTGATAATTGCAACATAACTATCAATGCCTGGTAGATTTTCTTCTTTTGTAAACATTGCATTTAAATCGATTCCATTCAAAAGCTGCTCAAGAACATTTCCTTCAAAGAAAGCAAGCATGTCTTTGATTGTTTTTTGTTCATTTATGTTCGAGCATTGCTTTAAATACTCATGAAATATTATTTCCAATTTCTGCTTCATTCTATAAACAAATCATGTAAATATTAAGATAAGCATTTGAGCAATTTTTACCTTTTGGTTATCTTAATTAACGGCCTTTCATGCAAACTTGAATGTACGATAAAGTTATCAAAAGACCGTATACCACTATAAACGTTGTATAAAAAAAAGTTGCGGGAATCTTTTCTGAGGAAGGGTATACAATGATTACATATGTATTACCATTGTTCAATCTCGGTTTCGATTATGTCAAAGTTTCCCTCCTCCTCATATAATATTAAAAAGTTGACTGTTGTAAGCGTAATATCTATTCAATTGACTTAAGTAACTAATGAATTGTACATATCCAATTTTTTCGTAGTTTCTTACCAACGTTAATAAAATAACTAGGACTGTAATAGAAATCAAATGATCTCTTTTCTGCACTTGCAGATATCACCTTGGGATCTCTAAACTTGTTTGCACTTTTGATTTGTTTTTTCATGAGGCTTAAACCTCCAAACGATATATTTTGTGAATCGATTATAAAATTTGGAGATTCCCCTTGGAGATATTGAAACTTTATTAGTTTGTAAATACCTTGCTGCTCGTCATATTCTTCTGACCATTTTTCTAAAAATTTTAAAAGGATTTGTCTATCGCTACTTTGCGAAAAATTTTCGGTACATGGAAACATGATTGTGTTGACTTTAGGGCTAACTTTTACTTTAGTTTCGGTGCTGATAATTTTTTCTGTTCCTTTGCTTGTATCCTGAAACATAGGATCCATTTGTTGTAAAAAAATTGCTTTGATAATATCGGATAAATCTGTATATATATCCCCTATCGTTATTAACTCTATAACCTTAATCTCACTTGTATCTAGATTGTATTCTCCTTTGTATAAATCACGTAAGCCTTTAAACGGTTTATAGGCAAAATATTTTTGAAATGGGATATGCATCGCATCCTATTAGAGATCATTAAAATTTGTGTTTGTCAACAGTAATGAACAAGTGAGGAAAGATTTAATTACCACATGGAATTTGGTAACCGTAGGATCATGGTATCTTTGTTTTTCTTTTGCATCCCAAGGAACATCGCTTTCATTTGTCAATAGATTCAGCAGGTCTGGTGATAGCATAATATTATATCGCTCCTCCAGACAAGCTTCTATATATACCCTCTTTTCAATCTGGTAAGGGATTGTAAACTGACTCATTTCTAATAATCTTGGGATACGTTTGCTGTCAATGGATGTTGGAGGATAATGAGCCGAAAATATTTCCATCTGTATGAGTACTTCTTCATCAAAATCTAATGCATACATCGTATACTGTCTACCGTTATCTAATTGTGTTCCTGGGAAACCGAGATCAGTTGACTGGATATATCGAACTCTTGATTCCAACTCAGTGATTAAAAGCAATCTGTCGGGATGGTCATGCTCTTGAACCAGACCAGCTTTGAAAAAAAGAGATCGAATTTCGTCTCGCATTTCAACATCCCATATCGTGGGAAGAGTAAAAACATAGTGAAACTCCCAACTCGGTATTTTGAAATATCTCTTTTTTTGTTCCAGACAGTTTTGTAAAACCCTAATGAACTCTTGCATAATAACTTCATCTTGCAGAGTATTTGGGTAATCCTGTCTTTTTTTGCTTAAGTAAGATCCGTATAGTTCTGTAAGAATGTTAGGCACATATGTATCATTGTGGTATTTATCGGATTTCCATGATTCGTCAGCTTCTATTCCGGTAGCTATAATGACACCGCTGGAAGTATGGTATAATATTGAAAGCTCTATTCCCTTTGTTCTTTTCAAAACCACTTTTTATAAGAAAGAATTACGTGATAACTTTGTGTTGTCGACTTACTCGTATTCTGAATAGCCCTGTTCATTGTTCTGGACATCACTATCGATGCAATTACACCAAAGGACATTATTCATCATTTCTATATCATGTCAATGTTAATTCGGTATAGATTTATCTACCTACCAAAACTAATACAGTGTGTCGACTTAGTGTAATCATAATACTCTTCCATATTTCAAAGAAAAAAAACAACAACAAAGTAAAGAGTCAACGCGTTACTGATGTTTCCATGAAAGGTAATTGTTTTTGTTATTTTAACAAGCGCTCGGGCCCTCGGCAACACACAAATTGGGAAGCAGTCAAAAAAAAAAAAAAAAAAAAAAAAAAACTCTTTTATTTATTTCCAAATGATAACACCTACGTTTAAAGTCGAGCAAGACAACGATACTGTGACAATTGTCATTAATACCCCTTATGTCAGAGTAAGCCTCTCTTATTTAAATGTAGAAGAAGAAAAGACTGTATATCTAAAAAAAGGACCTATTCTAGGCTCAAGACGTTGATCTTCATGTTGAAGGAACTGAATTCCGGTTTTATTTACGTCCCTACTTTTTGAGGTAAACAATAACTCAATTTAAAGAGAAAAAAAGGAGATCCACTTCAACATGTTATATTGTTAGACTTCATTTTCCCGGAAATATTCTGGAAGACGATGATTCCAAAGCAAGTTACGATCCTTCCGTCGGTCAATTCACGATTCGAGTAACTAAGGAGACGAAGGGCGAGCACTTCCCTGATCTCGACTTGTTAACTAAATTATTAGCCAGAACGGGTGAATCTAACGTCAAAGCGAGTGAGCCTAAAAAGCCCATGATTGAGGTTGTGGGCGGATCTGAAACAATAGGCGAAACAGAAATTCAAGATGCCATTGATTTCAACTGGGAATTACCCCAAGAGGTACCCATCGCGACCGAGCTTTCCATTACTGCACACTATGGTTTCAATAACCAGTACCATGGTTACTTCACACACGTACAAGAAACCATGAACGAGATCAATGAGATTGTTGACCCTGAAAAGTCGACCGCCGAAAGTCGTCGTGCTGAGCGTATCGAGTCCGAAAACAATCATTTTGATGAAGATCATTATTGTATGGATTTTATAAATGACGAGGAGATCAAGGAATTGATGAAGTACAAGACCGTGTTTTCAAAAGAATTAAAACGTGTGCAAAAGAATGCGAAAAATGTCGAGACAAAGGCAGCTAAACCCTTGATCCAAGAAGTCGATGCTTCAGGTGATATTGATATGGATGGACTTTCAATTGAAGACGCGAATGAAACCTTGTTAAAGTTCTCTAGTAAAGAAGAAGCAACTATGAAAGATTTACCTAACAAGGAATACCTCCTGTCTTTTGAAAAGGCAACTTATTTGGGATTAGTTGATCTCATGTTTGCCTATTGTTACAATTACCGTGTCACAGAAGGCGATAACAATGTGGAATCTGTGTGGTGCATTGGTAGAATCAGCCCCACTATTTCTTCTCTTGAGGTAACAACGGAAAGTGTATCGTGTGTCTATTTATGCTGACTTTTTTTCTTGTGTATTTTAGCAATTTTCGTTATTGAAGGACGTGATGGTCTCATGTTATCGACGCGCATTGACATATCCACTTTATAGAAACCTTGCATTATGTGAAAAGGTGCTTCAAGATGTATACATTATGTTTCGACTTGGCAAGAGAGCAATTTTAAAAGCATTGTTGGATATGAAATACTTGTTTGATCACCACGATGTGTATTATGTATACAGCAAAATATTTTTGGACGATTATTGTGTTTGGATTCAACATGCAAAGTAAGTATATTTTCTTTGGTCTGGGTAGATAAGAAATTTCTGACTCTTTATCTAGCGAGAATGTATTGCGGACATTAGCCCACGAACTTCATCATTTTAAGGTGGATAAGAACGAATTAAATTTTGATATCGTAGAGTTAGAGGAGATTGCTGAACAAATGCGAGGCATGCAGGACGAGATGGAGCAAGAGAATGATCAGGATATGCAAAGAGCTGAAATGATTTTGTAAATAAAAAGTGTACATACCTATATACAATCTCCCCCCTTATGATGTAAGGCGTAGGCACTTTCTAAGCCAATCGTAGAACGAGCTAAATTAGATCTAGGTGTGGGGAGACACAAAAAAAAACATTTTTAAGCCCTATTTTTTTTTTATCTTTTCTCCCTTTTCCTCTTTTAATAATTTTTTTTTTTTATAAACATGGCCAAAAGAGAAACATGCTTGTGGATATTTCCTATTCGATGGGGTGTCTTTGTTATATCGTTTATCATTGCAGTAAAGTATTTGTACGTTCTTTTGCAATTGCTCATTCTCATTAACAAACGACGTTTATTATGTATATAGGGAGTATCAGCGGCTTTAATTGGAGCGACATTTTTACATAAGAACCGTAAGTAGTACAAAATTCATGTACAACAACAAAAGAGATATTTATGATTGGTTGTAGCAATGATGATCCATTTGGCAGTGATTCATTCTGTCTTGCCCTGGGTGTATATTATTGTTTTAGGTAAGACCAAAGAAAAATGACGCACATGCTTGTAACTAAAAGGGGTTCCATTTTTAAGCTGTAACTGGCGTGATTGGACTCTTTGGTACAATAGCTGCCATTGCGGTAAGGATAAGATTAGCAATGAGGTATTTTTTTTGATTTTAATATCAACCTTGTATAGGGTAATCACGGGTTTATGGTTTTTTACAAAATCGCCGTCTGGCTCATGACCTTCTTCCTTGTCATTATTTGGCAAATCATTGTATTTATTTTGGCGTTGGTCAATCGCAGTAAGACCACCGAAGCTTGTAACAAGGCAAATCCTGCTACCAGCCAGGACTATAACTCGACAGAAAATGCCAGTGTCAGCTTCCAAGGGTATACAACTACTTTATTAGGTGTAAATATGGGTGATACCTATGGTGTTGCCAATTGTGATCAAGCTGTACAAGCGGGTATTATTGGTGTAGCCGTCTTGCTATTTGTGGGTGGCATTGTCACTGTAAGTAGACAACTTTTTTATTTTATTTTGTGTGTATTAACTGTTTTGTAAAGACGTGGTTTGCATTTGGCGTGAATAAATGTGCAAGAAGTTTAGATACCAATTACATGGGCTCTCATGCAAGAACCGCACGCTGGGATGATAATCTTGATCAATTACAATCCGCGTATGCCAAGGATAAAAAGAACGCACCACAATACCCATTAAAAGACCTTAATAAGACGAGTAAATTCTCGCGTGGTTTGATGAAATTGAAATTAAAGAAATAAATTGTTTATTCATCATCATCGTCAGATAACATTAATTCTGCCAATTCTCTCTCCTCTTCCTCTGTTAAACCATCCTTCTTTTGCTCCTCCGTCTTTTCCTCTTCGAGTCTCTTTAATTTAGCCTCTCTGGTCTCATTGTATATTTTGATGGATGCAGCAGTCAATGACCATTTTCTGACAGAACAATCCAATGAACCACTATACAATGTAGATCCTGAAATCTCTAAACAACCTACTTCATCAAAATGGCCTTCAATAGTACAAATCAATTTACCGGACCCAATATCCCACACACGAATATCATCATCACTGGATCCAGTCACGACATAAGGACCCGCCAAAACCAATGATTTCACTCGATCAGGATGTGTTAAAACCATATCAATCACGCCTGTGCTTGTGTTCCAACGACGCGCAGTTTTATCGGCAGAGACAGTCCAGAGATCGTCTTCCCACACACGTACACAGTAAATACTCGTATCATGGCCTTCAAACGTATGCAAAACTTTCATGGTCTCGGTGTCCCATTTTATCACAGTGCTGTCGGAAGAGCCCGAGAAAAGATACTTACCGTCAAGTGAGACAGCTAAACTTTCGATCGTACGCTTGTGTTTCTTTTCAACTCCAACACAACTCAAGGTCTTGATGGACCATTTGCGAATAAAACAATCGGAAGATCCGGTAAAGATGTGTTCACCGACCAAGATGAGTGATTTAATGAAATCAGTGTGACCTTCCAATGTAGCTAAACATTCACCTGTAACAAGGTCCCACTGTTTCACAGTCTTGTCCCAGGAACCGGTCCATAAATGCTGACTTGTCAAAGCCATGGCTGTGACAGGACCTTCATGGCCTTTAAAGAGTTTGACGGTCTTTGATGTCTATATGTGAATAGTTAGGGCCGACCGTCTTTGTTTGTTTGCTTTCACTGTGCTTACAGATAATTGGACCTTGCGAACAAAGAAGCCCGATTCAGCAACATAGATGAATTTTTCATCTTGGCTTAATTTAATGTCGAGTGCTTTGGATCCCAACTTGATGGCATCACCTGCTGTGTAATTGTATTTAAGCTGCTTTTCTTTTTGCTTTGCAATTTCAGCATCTGTTTGAAAGAATGCACCGGATTCCTGACTAACGTTGACCATGTGTATAAAGAAAAGAAAAAGAGAGAGTAAAGAACAGATACATATGAAAAACGTTTTTTGTTTTATTGGGGGGAATCTGAGATTTAATAAAATATATTGTCAGTTGCACTCGTGGATTTATGCCGTTGATGCTTGGTAGTAGGTTGTCTTCTATCTGCCGCTGTACTTTGACTTCTTTTGATAAGAAAGGTATTTGTTCTTGTGTATTTGGGAAATGCAGGCTTTGTTAATTGATTAGGTACAGGTGGAGGAGGTATGCTAAATGTATTTGGTTTATCATTGATGTCAATCGTCTCATCGTCAAACGGACTTGTTATAATCTCTTCTTTCAGTGGATTGAATGGATTACTTGTCTCTGGAATTTCCTGATGACGCACAGACGGTGATTGGTATACGAATCTTTGTGTTAATAATAAGGATTGTCCCGTATTGAGTTCATGTAGTGATAAAGAAGATCTAGAAGAGGTGAGTTCTTCCACTTGTTGTTGGTATGGATTGTGGATAAACTCATTGACAGTGCCTGCTGATCTTGACCTCGAATGTGTATATTTCTCTTCCAATTGTACAACATTGGGTGTGAGTGGTGTGATTGTCGTCATCACTGATGCGTCATATGAAGGTTGGATAGGATAGAACAAATCAATGATGGGTGAAGTTGCATGTTGTGTATAAGGTCCCATATATGACCTTCGGTTTTCTAATTGTGCTGGTTTCTCATTGCCCCACCATGATTTTCTGTTCTCTTTGGTTTCTAATTGTTCTGTTGAAGATGACTTGATCAAGGCATCAATCGCATTCTTATGAAAATAGGGTATAGGAGCTAAACCAAGTTAGAATAAAATAATAATAATCTCCAGCCTCAATTCATATATTATTTTAATTTACCTCCTAAGTACACAAGGGCTCGGCTAATTTTACGACCATTTTGGGCGTGTGCTATTAGCCTAAGCATTGCAAAAAATTGTAATTCGTCTAATCCATCACCCGCAGTCTCAAACAGGGCTAATATCTACGTAGGAAGAAGGGTCAATCAAAGAAGAAGATATAACCAAGGAAACCAAACTTGCCTGCTCTAGCTTATTGTCGGGTAGACTACAGCCATTCAAAAACTTTAAAATGGTATTATTGTTTATTTTTTTAAAATCAAACGGATCCAGATCTTTCCACCATGCTTGGTATGCTGGTTTCTCCATCTCTGATAATTCAGAAAGATTGATCGCAGGTGCTGGTAGTGCTTCGCTGGGACTAATCACGGGAGTCACCATCGTAGTTGAATGGCGTTTGACAAACTGTTGTGGTCTTCTATCTTCGGCCGCTTTAACTTTTTGTGAGGACCTTTGAAACACATTTTTTAATTTATTCATTATTATATTATCAAGAAAAGGGTTTATTAACGAGAGAGAAAGAAAGAAAGGAAAAAAAGAGAGGGGGCTGGACCTTAAATTTTCAAGCATGATTTTATTTTTATTTATTTTTCATGTGCGTACATCATTACAGCCAATCATTCCTTTTTTTTACACACACCTCTCTTTTGTCTTCTTTGTTCCCAATAATTCAACATACTTTGTGTAACTGAAATACCACTGTTGGCCGCAGCATTATCTACCGAGCCGTCCTATTGGCTTATGACACGATCCTCGACTGCGCTTGTTATTAACCAGCTGCTTTTTATTTTTAATTGATAGCATGTTCTTTGATGTGAGTATACCTATCTGACATTGGACTTCAATCTATTTTTAAAAAATAAAATAAAACCAAAATATTTCTAGTCTGTCATTCAGATACAATGATTTACATGTACTATGCAATTGATTTATAATAAATAAACTTTCATCTTCTCCAAGCAACCAACTGCCCTGAATTTAAATACGAACCAGAAGCATCCACACTGTTGACACAAAAAAAACAAAAAAAAAATCGAAGTCCATGAGTTAAATTACTGTTTTTGTGTTAGCGCATTTTTTTTTTTTTTTTGGATAGGTTCTTAAACACGCATTTACCCATCCTCTTGTTTTATCTTGTCAATTCGCTGGAGTGACATAGATGCATACTACTGTAACATTTAATGCAGAATATTCTTATGTTACTTTATGTGACCTAGTTCTTACAGAAAAAGCTTTATTTAATTCATGTCTGAATAATTTTTTTTTATTCCTTGTAAATCGCAGAGAAGATCTTTCTGCTTTGTGACACTACATCAGACTAAATGTTCTTCCTATTACCATGATGTGTGCAACATATAATATTTCAATGGCTAAGCAACAGTATTATACAGTCAAACCTATGGAATTTAGCATTTTCTCAAAAATAAATGGCAGAAAGCCAATAGCTAACTAAACTTGGCAGGAAGATTACGCCTAATTATCGCACCTGTGTGTCCCTCTCTCTTCTTAACAAAAATATAACATAATGATGAACACCTTACCCTTTTTTTTCTATGAAAGTTGGACATGAAGATATTTTTAATAAAGAAGGAGGGAAAGCTTACGATTCGAGACTGACAGCGATCAATAAAGATGCTCAGGTTAATATCCCATGGATCTTACATCCTTAATATAAGTGGAATATTCTATCTGACATCAATTAGGACAGCCAAAGTATCGATTCATGCTATTACATAATTATTCAAATATATTTACTCAATTAAATAAGGTAAAGAAGAATCTATGGCTAACGGGACATTACAAAGGTAAAATAAAAGTTGTATTGGTTGACATTTTATATATATGTTAAAGAGAATGAACTTTATGATTATTTTCCTTAGATGAATCTATTAGATCAATACTGGGCTTTGAATAAATACGTAGACATACTTTTTTTCTGCTGGGACTGGTAGATTTTTCAGTGAGACGATTTTGATTTAATTGGACACAAGACAGATTAGTAAAATGTTAAGACTACTTTGAAATCATTTGAGATCCCCGGCTAAGGTAGTAGTCTCATAATTCTACTATATAGTTTCGATTTAACAAGCAATATCGTTTATTCCATACCAACCAAATCAGTAAGAACAATTTGTAGTTGAATATAGTACTTTTAATAAAGAAATGACAGAGAGAGAGAGACGAAATACAAGACATGCATAAATTATGGTCATACTCAGTATAGTGTAATGAACGTTGCCACTAAAGATATAGTATGACAGAAAACGAGTTTGAGGAAATAGAAGACAACTTTGCCGTTTAATCACTTGAGGAGGAGGACTTTCAGCTTATTCAAATAAACCACGAAAGCTACTCTCACGCTCAAACTGCTAGCTTCATTCACAGTTTGCAGGAATAAGGTTTTCTTGTACCAGAAGCTGCAAAGAATCCGATTATTCTTTATGGCACAGCCTATAGAATATGGAATCGAGCTAACGAGAGTGATGTTAAAGGGTTCCCTGGGTTCAAAAAAATCTCAAAACACGATAATCGTGGAAGACCACTTATCTTGATCAAAGAACATATTCAGTTCTTGCTCAAATATGTTGAATAAAATGCTACACCAACTGTGGATTTAGCTCATGATGAGTTATGTAAAGCTTTCTCAGGTTTAAGAATCTTGGTCAATGCAGTCTATAAGCATATGAGGACGAAATGTAATTTATCTTTCAAGAGGAAGGCTGGGATTTTTCATGAGGAATAAGATTCTGGTACGACAATTTGAAAGAGAAAGCTGTGTATTGAAAAATGTAAAGAGAACAATATTGATTACCAGAAGAATTGCGTTTTTATAGATGAAGCAGGTTTCAATCTGCATTATATCATGCAAAATAGAGCTTGGGCCCCAAAAAATAAACCTGCCAAAGTTAAGGTCCAAACTCAAAAGTATATAAGTAGTACTGGTAGTATCTTTAAGAGAAATCCGGGTGATCAGCAAAATGCTTTTTATGACGCTAATACAAAAAAAGCACTTTCTAATATCTAGGCAATAAGGTTCTATGTAACCGACACTTTTATTATCCTATATCCATAATCAAACAAAAAAAAACATATCAATAAATCTAAACATTTATTTTATTGTACCACTAATTAATATCAACGTGTCTATTTATTTATCCATGATTGTTCATTGCCAAGACACATATCCACAGTCAAAGCGTGTACACAACAGTTTAAGATGTAGAGGCATTTAAAGAGCCGGATTGACCAGCATGGGTATTGGTTATAATGCTATAACTTGGAGGAAACAGAAAATAATTAGAGGGGAGGGAAGTAAACCATATATAAGTATCATGAGGAGTCTTATTTGTTTTTGTCGCGATTCACCAGGTTATGATAGTAGATATAGCGCAAATTAGACTAGAATTGAAAACTAGTGATTTTTATGCAAACAATGTAAAATTTGTAATAATTGGGTGACATAAATTAGATAGTTTTGATAAAAATAATGTCTAAAGAGTTTAATCCAAATTATAGTCACCAAGAGAACAACTAAAGTTTGATCCTGCTGACATTTCATCAAGTTCATGTTCTACTATATTTTCATCTGTAGAGTTTCCTTCTCCGTCTAACTTTCTTTCCGGTTAATAGGTAGAATCATTGAAATATGTCTTATTTATCTAATCTTTTACTGACAAAAACACAATTACATATTATTGATCAGGTTTGAATTTTTCAAGGCAATTATATTTGAAATGCTAATCTTGCCGGCTAGGATAAATATTATCAAAGCATTGATTAATTAATAATATATATAAAAAATGGTGTCTAAGAGCATCTCCAGAAATTAAGGCTTTATTAAGAGATCTTTAAAATCAATTATTAGGGATGTTCTTAATAATACAGCTTAATTGGGAGATTTAATAAATGAAATTGTGGGCTTAAAATAATTGGAGTATTCAGAATGAACATAGGGCCTCTTATAAACCAGAGGATCCTGTTGTGAATTCTTTACCATTTCCTATTTTTACATAGAAATCAATATATATCAGTATTGTGATATAGTCTTAGACTTACCTTGAAATTAAAAAGAATTTCTAATTACTCTTCAAGTGAAGTGTATGACGCCATTAATGTTGGTAGCACTATTTTCTGTAATAAAACGAAAACGAGCTACAGTATAACTCAATAATATCATCAACTACGAATATGCCAAATGCATAAAATTCTTTTGTAGATTTCGCCTGTCTGATTCGATAATGCAGTTGCTTTTTTAAACTCTCCCCCAAACTGGCTCTATCTTCTTCATTTAATCTTTCGTCAGTGCAATTCAACTTGACCTCTCCACATCCTAGTTCCTGAATGCCGTCATACAATTAAAAATTAGTCCGTACCATCTTTTCTGGGTCAAGTTTATCTACTTTTAAAGGTTCTTCCCTAAAAGAAGTTGGATGAGAATTAATTTTTTCTCAACTAAAAGCAGGCTTACCAACACACATTCACACTAGATTTTGAATTAAACACGAATCGAAATAATATTGCTATATTTTGAATTGAAAAATCAATTTCAGATTGTCTGTAACTATTTGTTATAAGGGGACTGTCTAATGTTTCTCTTAAGTTGAGTAGAAATGTCCCCAAATCTCGTCGAAATATATTTTCTTCCGTAGGAGGGTCTTGAATTGTTATTGGTGACTTGAAGAATTCACGTTTAACTACCAGCGCCTTAAGGAATTTTAAATTTCTATATATTATATCTACGTTTGTTTTTTTAGCTTACCCTTCTCCATTTTCTGATTTCGCTGTATACTTCATCTGAGAAAACATAAGGTTCAAGAACAAGTTCTGCCGGGCATTCATTGTAGTAATTAATCGAAGATAAGCGTCTGTAAGGTTTATACATGAGTATACTTCTTATTTTATTCTAATCTGGGGTTATATTTACAATCGTTCATCTAAGCTGAGATCATTATTTATATAGAGAAATGTTTAGACCTCCGTATTTTTTCAAACGTATTTTTTTTTATACCACTTACAGGAATTCTGGCCAGAAGACCAGCAGACCAGTATGATTGCACCTATTTACAGTGCAATCACAGCCATTCACGGTTCGTGAGTTCCAAAACTCATGAACTCTCTGCCTAGGAGGTCGCCCTCCTATAGCAAAGACTAGCCGCAGCCGCAATATCACAATTATATATCTTTTTCAATTTAGCTTCTTTTCAAAGAAACAAGAGTCACCACTAAACAAACCTTTTTACGTGATCGGTTACTTTCATACGATAAAAGAAGTATGTTAAGGGAAAAGAGAAGTAGAAGGATAAAGTGTGTGAACCAGCTTTATTTATAGATAAACAAGCTTATGTCAGGATGATTTAATTTGTCTATTTTATCACCCATAATGTTTGAGCCTTTACCGAAAATAGAAACACTAGAACATATTTTCGTTGTTTTAGTAATTCTCCATATCTGGATAATGGTCGAGGTTCATTATACGATTCGTCTGTCGTCTCTGTAAGATCCGACTTGGGTTCACTCTGGGATAAGTATTCTGAAGATACTGGTGTTGATTTCCTTGTTTCTATAAAAAGAAAGAAAACAGCATATCAATGCTATTCTAACTTGCTATATTATATTAAAGTTCAATGAGCTTACCTTCCTCAGCTGCTACTTCTTCTAAACTATCTAACCCTTCCAGTGTTTTTTTCCTAGGTACGAGGTAAACATTGCCCTGCAGTCCAATTGATCCAATTCCATAGTTATAGTTATAGTAATTTGTACTAGTTTCTGACTGTTGTTCTTCACTTTCTTGTGATTTGGTATCTTATTTGCAGAATGAAGAGAATGAATAAGATACTATTTACTTTTGAGACTAAAGATCGTATGACTTACAAGTTTCTTTATCAAATTATCAATTGCCAATTTTTTGTCCGCTGATAACTCTTTTATATGCGGTAAATTGTCCAAACAAAGTCGATACTTGGAATAGATATGTTTCAATCGAGGCTTCCCTCTAATTGTTTTAATGTAATGGTTTTTATAGAACTCGAATCCCCACTCAGAAAGGGGGGCATGCTTGAAATATTCTAAAGAAGAATTCGTCGATGAAAAATTGACTATGGGTTCTTTATTCTCCATTACTTTTTTTTTTTTTTTTTTTTTTTTGGTAAATAAATTTTTATTAAGGGTATGATTTAATACAAATTTTCAAGTCACACATCGCGGAGTGGTGGAACTTGTTGAAACGAATGATCGTGGATGACATATAAGCTATAGAATTAGTCTATGTTGGAAAGAGGATTGATAATTTTGTTGATTTGGAGAATAATTCTGGACACTGATTTGGGTAGGTTGGCAGCAGCAAAAGGTCGCGGATTGTCGGTGCCATGAAGCCAGTAAAGGTTCCATATATGCCAGAGGGTAGTAGAAAGTATGGAAAGATACCATTCTTCGTGTTGCACAGACAATGGATGTTTTAGATTGCAGATTGATTCATATAACATCGAAGGTGTAAATTCAAGATATGGGTAGTAGTGGGACAGTACCCTATGCCAAAGCTGTCGCTTTATGGGGCACTCCACCAAGAAATGTAGAATTGAGTCTTCGGCAGTACCATAGAAAGAGCATTGAGGGGAAGTGACGTTACCAAAATGTTTATACATCAGTTGTTTTGTAGGGATACATTTAGAAAAAGCCCGATAGTAAACGGTACGTGCTTGTGGGTACATAAGGCAGCTCCAAAATTGTTTTATATTCCGTATTGGGAAATTGTGAAGGGTTTTATAATGCTGCTGATAGTACCTGCGTAAGACTTGTAAAGATAACGTCTCTGGTCCGATAATTCTTCTACGACTAGACTCCTTCCCAGGGGTGACAATAACTCTTTAACTTTGTTAAACGGTGGTCAGGAGAGCTGGCTTGTCTGTTATGTCAACATCGCTTCCTTTTAATCGAGTTTTTTGAAAAAAATTTGACGCAAAAGTAGCCCCTCTCAGCTTTTATGTGGCATTTTAGAAGGTAAATATTTTAGTTTTTTTAAAGCTTACTTTCAATCACTAAGATTGAGCTAAGATTTAGGCTATCTATACATAACCTGGTAAATCGCGACAAAAACAATTAAGACTCCTAATGATACCTGTATATGGTTTACTTCCCACCCCTCTAATTCATTCTCTGTTTCCTCCAAGTTCTAGCATTATAACCAATACTCATGCTGGTCAATCCGGCTCTTTAAATGCCTCTACATCTTAAACTGTTGTGTACACGCTTTGACTGTGGGTATGTACCTTGGCAATGAACAATCATGGATAAATAGATAGATACGTTGATATTAATTAATGGTACAATAAAATAAATGTTTAGATTTATTGATATGTTTTTTGTTTGATTATGGATATAGGATAATAAAAGTGCTGGTTACATAGATACTACCAGTACTACATATATATTTTTGAGTTTGGACCTTAACTTTGGCAGGTTTATTTTTTGGGGCCCAAGCTCTATTTTGCAACATGATATGCAGATTGAAACCTGCTTCATCTATAAAACGCAATTCTTCTGTTATCAATATCGTTCTCTTTACATTTTTCAGTATACAACTTTCTCTTTCAAATTGTCGTACCAAAATCTTATTCCTCATGAAAAATCCCAGCCTTCCTCTTGAAAAGTAAATTACATTTCGTCCTCATATGCTTATAAACTGCATTGACCAAGATTCTTAAACCTGAGAAAGCTTTACATAACTCATCGTGAGCTAAATCCACAGTTGGTGTAGCATTTTATTCAACATATTTGAGCAAGAACTGAATATGTTCTTCGATTAAAATCGTGTTTTGAGATTTTTTTGAACCCAGGAAAACCTTTACCGTCACTCTCGTTAGCTCCATTCCATATTCTATAGGCTGTGTCATAAAGAATAATTGGATTCTTTGCAGCTTCTGGTACAAGACAACCTTACTCCTGCAAACTGTGAATGAAGCTAGCAATTTGAGCGTGAGAGTAGATTTTGTGGTTTATTTGAATAAGCTGAAAGTCCTCCTCCTCAAGTGATTAAACGGCAAAGTTGTCTTCTATTTCCTCAAACTCGTTTTCAGTCATACTATATCTTTAGTGGCAACGTACGTACACTATACTAAGTATGACTATAATTTGTGTACACATATTATTTTATGAAGAAAACAGTTGTCAAAATATGCAAGGGGGCTATAACCTTGATCTCAGTCAACTTTGCCACAATCTGCTGTGTTTCTATCCCTCAACTTTTGTCTTTAGAACCGGTGTGCCCCACTAATATATACCAGTGAATCTGTTACTTCCGAATAATAATAGTCTTTGTTGATAAGAAAATCGTATACTAGTGGGTCTTAAACTAAAGTTCCCAAGTTCTGTGCCTCTGTCCAACATTTTCCTGTCACTCAATTAACAAAATGGCCCTATGCAGATAACGTAAAATACATACAATGTAACCTGAAATGTTCTAACATGTCACAAATGCTCGGAACTCTTTTAAGAAGAAAGTGCCAAACTAAGTATTTATTGTAACCATTAAGTCTTAAAAAAGACAAAATGTTTTATAGCGAGAAATTATCCAACTGATATGTCACATTGTGACACGGTTCTCATACGATTATGGAAAATTGATCTAGATGAAAGCTCTCATATTGTATACTTGTTGGATTATGCTAATTGTGTACCCACTTATTCATGCTGTGTAAATTAAATATATTATGCTTATTTTTGACATTCTTTTAAAAAGCTGAGTCTGTATCAAAATACCCTAGAAGGTTTATTTCATCGAACGAACACTTTATTTATGCCCTTGTGCTGATACTCATGAAATTGCGTTAAGAAAATATTGGACAGAGGAAGGAAAGTATCCTTGAGTTAGGTTTGGCGTCTAAATTACAAGATATCATATCAACAATCACACAAAATATATATAAATAAATTTGAGTTTGAAGCCCATTTCGTGTCCTAAAAGCCTTTCGTTATGTATTACATACTTTGTTTGGACCGGAAAGACTATCCAAGCCTATATTCGATATATTGTATTAATTCAGAGCATTAGTCGTTTATAATAAAAAGTAGTTTTTCAGCCTGTATATCAGCTTTAAAACATTTTCAAGGTGAACATCAAGAAGTGATTTAATGCATTCTTTTCATGAAAGAAAAGCTATCAAAGAGAATATAATTTTATTCTTTGAAATTCTGTGCTGATTAAAGGAACACACACACCCAAAAAGCGTAATTATTTTTAGAGTCTTCTTAATAGCGTCAGAACTATACATAAAAACTTCTGAATCATAGGTACATTGATACATAGTACAAACATGTAACGTTTGTACTTTTAAATCATTACTTTTCCGATGTTGTATTGGAATTGTTCATTAAAGTAAACAATGTTCTTAAAGACTCTTTGATGTAGCTAAGTGGTTGATCACAAGCAATTAATATAGCATCATTGTATTCCTTTTTTTTTTGCCTCCTTGATCACAGGCCTGGTTTTTCGTAAATAGCAATTTTTTTTTTTGCATAATTACCCGGTAAATATCCAAAATGTTAAAAAACTCTAAAATGGATACGTATTGTAACCAAACCTTTTTTTTTATAAAAAGGGCATAAAATTTTATTTGATAATATGTATCTTCTTTTCAATCCACATCAAAATGCTTAAGGGAACTATTATCTTGGTCTTAGCTTACGTCGCTACTGTATACTGTGCTGCTGCTCCCAATCTTGAAGCCAGAGCAACCACTCATCCTTGTGCTCCTTTGCCTGGTCACCCTAGTGTCTGTTAAGATATGTCTAAAGAAAATTGTGGGTAGTAAAAGGACATTTATACGTTTCTTTATGGCAATGTCGATATTTATCTGCTAAAACCTTATAATTATACTTTTACCCCGACTGTCTTTTATTAAAAAGTATTAATAAAAACGGAGCGAGTCTTTTATTTGTTATAAACTGAGGATTACTGTAGTTTACTAAAGTGTTGGTTTTCGCGTCTAATACCTTTCCAAAAAAAAAAAAGTAATAGTGTAAATAGTTATACTTATATTTACTTCTTCTCGAGAACATTCTCGTGATGCATTTATTATGTGTCTCATTTTCTTTACACCTAGTTATTATACTATATTTACACTATCCAAATATTTATATAGGATATTGTGGATTTCAGTAGATAGCAGTAACACATATTTTATTTTATTGTGTAAATCATTTAATAAATACTCTACCCATTGCCCTGATTGTGACCAATAAAAGTTTGTTTCCATCTTCCAATGATCTTTGTAATATAGTCAATCGACAAATAATGAACAACTTTCACAGCACCTCAAATATTTTACAAAAGCTTATATGAGTTTTTATTAAGTGGTACATAAGTACAACGTTTTTTAACAAAACTAATTGTTTATTTTTTTTTTATATGTCTTAAGAAGCTAACTATCAAAGTACTTTTTAATTAAAACTCTAGTTAGCATTGTATCCATTGATTACTTTAATCATTTATGAATTGGGCGGTAACTCCAGTGGTTACGTCAAATAGGAGCTTGATCGTTTTCCCCAATAGGTGATTTAGCAGGTTCTTCAGTGGGCGTTTGAGTGGGTACTTCAATGGGTGCTTGAACAGGTGCTTGTGCGGGTACTTGAGCGGATTCAGCAATAGGAGCTTGAACGGGAGCCTGAGTGGATTGTCCCGCAGCCTGAGGACGCGTATAGGTAGCTAAACCTATCTTTAAAGTGTTAAAGAGAACTTTCTCGCGGTTTCGAAGATAATCATAAGATTCTCTCAATTCCTGACAATAAGCCGCCAAATTTCTCTTCATAACGTCGGTGGACTGAGGAGATACTCTTCCCACTAATTGACGAATAGACAGATGGAGTTCTTCTATAAGACGAATCAAGTCACTTTCATGTGCAGTAAGACTATCTGTAATGCTCATGGTTACATGGTCAAATACATCACCTTCACGTACATCTGGAAGTCTGGCTTCGACAGGTTCTTGGGGCATAACGATAGGATTGAATGGTGTGGCAGGAGCTAAAGCACGAGGGAAGGGTCTATCCTGAGTTGCAGCTTGAGCTACAGTGACAACAGTGGCAACAGGGGGTGAAGTCTGTGTAGCAGTATTCGTACCACT